TTGCCAGAATTGGAGCAAAGTTAATTCTGTCTTTATAAATAACTTTTTATGCTGGTGGTTTTTTGTGAATCTTTCAATATTTCATTAAATCACACAGTTTCTGGATCTTTCTTTTGAATATGTTTTACTTATGTATTTATCATTTTTAAGCTTTTTTGTAACTAGCTATAAATAATTTAAAAAACTAAAGAGAAAAATGGTTTTGGTTTTACAATGTAGCTAAGAAGATATTTTCTAACATCTAAGAACTAGACCTCAGAGTTGCTCATTCAGTATCAAGAGTTATCATTACCAGGGATATTTCATATTATTATTAAAGAGGGATTTGGTATTGGGATATTGTAAAAGAGGTCTGAGCTCTTTATTTTCTGAAAGTAGAGCAGGACACCGTTTGCTGAGGTGAACCTGAATGTTGTCAGACAGTTGCAGATCTCCCAGGTAACATTTCCTCAAGTGGAGTTTTTAAGAATGACTAAAATTTGTTCTTCTCCAAGCAGGGTGTTTACTTTCTGTGTCCAGTGTTCTCCAGATAATGTGCAGTGCTGCACTTACCTTTAGAATCAAGAAACTTCCTTGAGCATTACTTTAACCCCTGGGCTTTATTGATTTGAGATGAAAAAAAAAAAAAAAATTGTATGGCAAAACTTTGGTTATTATAACTAGATCTAAACAAGAAAGACTAACATCAGTTTTGACAACAAACAAAACCAGTTTTTGTTCTATCGGTTATGTTTAAGAGATTCCAATTTCAAACCAAACACAACTTGTGGTTATTCTGTCAGATATTTATATAGCCACTGGGGCGCCATAGTTATGCACCGCATACATCATTGTATTTTTAAAATGTACTTAATGAACATTTTTTCTTTTCTGGTAACTACTTCATTGCCTTAAATGAATGCATTCCAATAGAATTTGTAACAAATGAGCACTTTGTGTTTGCATTAATGCCAAACACGTTTAACAAATTTTTAACAAGGAACACTGGCAAAAAGCCAAACTCCTAGAGGGACACTGAAGGAATGCTATAAATTTAAACTAGATTTTACCTTTTCACTCTGCTCAACAAGTGTCTTAGGTGTCTTTGGCATCTCAGCATTGCAAATTTTCTACGTAGGTTGGATACAAATTTATGCCTTAATTATTTTTCTTCTTGGCCCTCCTCACTAGAGATTTCCATGTCGATATAACAGGCTTTAACAGGTTACTGTATTCTTTAGAGAGTGAGAGGTGGGTTTTCTTTCTTTCCTCAAGACTTAGGCCAGGAGGAGGTAGCAAAACCCAGGATTTATTGTTGGGCTGTAATGACAGGGAGGTTCAAAGAGCAAATATCGTGCCACTGTGACATCCTGTGCTAAGGGACCTCTACAGTGCTGAGCTCTGCAGCAGATCTGTGCTACCCAGTTTTGTTGCTTGTGCTGAGTTGCAGATTTCTGGGCTGTGATTGAGTTTGCAACTGCACTTCAGGGACAGGGGAAAGCAGCCCACAGGGCTCCTGCTGGCCCCAGCTCTGAGCTCACACAGAAGCCACGAACAGATTTTTGGCTGAATCAAACTTCTGGGGGGTTTTCAGTTGTTAAGTTATGCCCACATGGTACATGTCAGTACAGACCTTGGGAATCACCTACTCTGTAATACATGTTCGTATTAAAAGTGTTACAAGTAGCTCCACAAACCACATGCTTGCTCTTTAGTTGTAACTTAATATATTAATTTAATTTTTACTGTGTTATTTCAGTTTTAATCAAATGCAGGAACTGAAAAATAATAATACTTAGCACTCATCCAAGACTTCTAAGGCATATTACAAACATTAAGCCTTGCAAATTCCTGTGAGGAACCTGATGTTATGCCTGTTGTAGCAAAGAGCAAATTAAGCACAGAAGAGTGATATGACATTTTCCTTAGTCCCACAATAAACTGGTGGAAGGGGCGGTATTTAGAGTGTCATGGCTTTGTTTTAGTAAATAGAGTAATTCTTTTTGTGGTTTTGCACAAAGGTAAAAATTGAGAATGCTTTTTTTTTTGCCCTTCCTATAATTTACATGATGTTGTTGCAAGAGGCACAGGCAAATTCCAGGACATCACTTGAGAAAGACTTTATGAGTTATAGCCTTATTCCAGTCTAGTTACTCGTTTCCAGAAAATGAAACAATTTCCCATCATTTGTTGGTACTCTGATTGCAGTAATGATGAATGAGTCTGGAGAAGGAAACTGAGGAATTCATCCTGACAGCTTTTTCAAGGATGTCACATTCTAGTGCAGAGGCCTTGTCGTAGTTTAGAGAGCAGAAATAGCCCTCACAGGTTTTCATTAATGATATCCTTCTCTACTAACATTTGGTCAGATACCAGTTCCCTGCAATAAAGTATCTATTCCCTCTCTTTCTTACTCACTAATTACCATATCAGTTGTTGGCCTTTTATGTAGGTACCATGTGTAACAGGTTAGGAGAGGGCAATTTAAGCCTATGTGAATGGGTATCTGTTTCTGTATCTGGGTGCTTGTTGCAAACATTTGGAAAGCATATGGAGCATAATGGACATTAACCCAGATGTCAAAAATAGCCTGCATTTTACTACTGTTATTAAACAGTTTCCCCTTTAACCCCTTTGTGTTTACCCACCCTCTCCAGCTTGTTTCTGCAAATCACTGCTGAGAGGAAAGGATTGGAGGTAAAAAGTACTAATCAGGCAGGTGTCTTTATCCAAAGGAAAAACAATGTGAACAAATATTTGTGGGCTACTACACTTTTATATCTTCACATCCTTCTGCTGTTTTCATTGACTGGTATCTAATGCACTGACAGAGGTGCCAAACTCATAAGACATTAATTTCAGCTGGAGCACTGCTGAATTCAGGCCCAATGAATGTTACCAAACTTTATTTCTGTTTTAGAGGTTCAGTGACTTTTACCAAGTGCAGCATTGAAGAAACAAATATAAATTTAATTTACTCAACCTCAGTTGGTATTTGACAGCAATATCCTTTTATATATTTATTTGACTTACTTGAGAAATACTTTGCATTTCCTACCTGTGGTGAACAAGTTTTTGTTACACTTGCAATACATATATGGTTTCCTGATGAATGGGTGGGTTGATTGAGTGGGTGAGGTTTATTTGGGGGCTTTCTTTCTGTAGTAAAACCCCAATGAAAATCTGAGGACCAGGCTGAAGGGGGAGTGCATTTTGTGCTTTGCTGCTGTTCCTCAGATCGGACACTTTATTCTGGGTTCTTATTTTTTCTGAGCATAAAAGTGTTAATTGCAGAGGAACTTCAGCTTGTAAAATAGCAACTACATTGAAGATTTGCTGTGATTACATTTTAGTTTAAAAAACCTGGGCCTTATTGTGCTGCAGTTTCTGGAATGTGCTCTCCTCGTTAATTTATAGGTGTGCTTCCTCTGCCCCAGAATCTCTTTGAATGATGATTAAGAAATTCTCAGCACACAAAAGAATGGGAGCTATGCACAGTTCACCAAACGTAATGCATGTGCTGACTTACAGTTTTCATAAAAGTTTGCAACGATTTTATGTGCCAGAACTAGTAACATGATCTACTTTAGGAACTCCCTGGCTTTCCAGCTCTGCAGAAGTCATTTTTAGACTGTTCAAGTGCCAGATCCAAAACTTGTTAAAAACGGTGGGAACCTTTCCATATTTCAGTGGGCTTTGGATTAGTCCCTAAGTGTTTTGACCAGAAGAATTGTACCAACCACTTACTGCAAAATTAGAACTATTCATCCATGTTTGTATGATATAAACTGTTAATATGTGCTTTCCAGCAAGATGTGAAGTTGAAAATAGGGATTTAAAATAATATGATAATTTTTTCTGTTTCAGAAACAGTGTTTCACTTTACTCACAGAATAGTTTATCTGATAAATATTAGATTCTGAGATTTTAAAGGCAATTTTACTCAAGTAGTTCTATTTAAAAAAAACATACCTTTCAGCTGTATACAAAACCCTAACTATTGTATGGAAAATTCTTTTTCATAAAATGGGATGGTTTGGAAACTTTGAAGGTTACATAGATGGAAGGGCAATATTGGAGAATCCCATACATAATGCATTTCAAATTTTCTAGAAACAAAGTCAGTGGATAAATGAACAACTGCCCTCTAAAGGAATCATTTCATTCCTCCCACTCATCTAATATACAGATAGTGTGAATAAGACCAATTCACTGCTCTCTGTTCAAGCATACCGTGCTGTTTGCTTGCACAACTGAAGTAACAATAGAAATCACTGAGGCCTCACCCTGCAGTCACAATCAGAATCTCATCCAAAGCTGGTGGAAGGGAGGAAGATTCTTCCCACTGGCTGAGCTGTGCTGACACCAGCTCCCTCTTTAGTCCCCTGGGTTTCAGCTGTGCCAGCCAAGGCAGGCAGAGCATCTGTGATTAGTGGGTGTATGGCTGAAAACCTCCTAACACATTGCTGTGTGTTCTAACTTCTGCAAATCTGAGCTTCTTGCATCCATAAAACCTTTCTCCACTGTTCTGCAAATTAAAGTGAATTTAAAGTGCTGAAAATATGACAAGAAAATGGTGCTTCAAATTTGGAAGGCTGGTAGAGGTACTACACATTCCCACCTGCCAAAGAACTGGGTGGAAATAAACCAATGATTCTCTTGGTTCCCACAGAAAAATATTTAATTTTATTAATAACATTTCCCTTTCAAAGTTACTGTGCTTATAGACAAGATCATAAAACTCACTGTTTACAGAATCACAAGCACAACAGCATTTGACATCTTAGGAACTTAAAATATTTCCCATGTAGGGGGAGTAATGTCATACAAATTAGCAATAAAACTAATTGCTACCTATGAATGTAAGTTGGTTCAAATTGAATTTAAATGCCTTACTTAATCCTCAGCCCCTAGAAAAGCATTATCTCCACTCATATGTATGAGAATCTTGATTAGATGAGAGCTAAGATGCTCTGGATGCTTCAGTCATATTAACTGAAATATTTTTTCCCTTGTTACAGTTGTCAGAGGAACTAGTGAAAAAGGAAGAAAAAACTGTAGCACTGGAAGGTAACAATGATAATCTATTGCATTGGATCTCCAAACATGACCATGATATCCTGGAGAAGATCACAGATGCAGAAAATGAATGCTAAGGTTGATATCTAATGAAATGCTGCATTAATTAGCATTTTCTCCATTATTTCTTGTAGTCTATTGTGAAATTAGATACTTTGGAAAGTAATGAAGGAGACTCAAGCAGAAATTACAAGAGCTTCATTTCTGTCTTTAATGGGTCTTGTGAGTTACTCTGTTTTTACAATGAAACCATCTGTTCAGAATATAGTTGTTTCATAAAGTTCAGTTAAACAGGTTATATAGCAAATTTTTGGTAAATTAATATTGATTTTAATAGGTAATTAAGATTCCCTAGATGTGGCATCTGCATTTGCTGGTTTTACCTAGTCTATTCTAAAGTATCACTTCTATTGCACTAGATTATCAGAGAGGTATTAGTAAAATGCTATATAAGGGTGTTGGCAGTAACTTTACCCCCAGTTAAATACAGGCTTTTCCAAAAAAATAAAAACAAGCCTTTACCCTCCTCTGTTTTCTTTTCTCTACTGATAAAATAATATAAATTAAAACCAAACCAAAACCAAATATTGATACTATTACCGGTATTAAGCTCTGGGCCAGGTTGGAAATGAAATCAATTTTTGGTACTAATAACTGATGACAAAGCTTAGTTTTATGAAATTATGGTGTGTGTCTCTGACAATGCATAGGACATCTAATTTGAACATAAATAAATGATTATATACAAGATGTATCTATTCCTGGATGGTAAAAGCTTGAGGTGTATATAAATACATATGTGTGTATATATATATGGACATGTACACAAGGATGTATCAACCTTTTACCATCCAAATGCATACATGTTTTCAACAGTAAAAGCTGGGACTCTTAAAGAAACAAATAAAAACAAAAATAAAGATTGCTGTGAATACAGTATATGCACTAGGTCTCCTGTAAATGTGGAACTGTTTGTTATTGTTCTCTGCATTGAAAAACAGTCTCCAACATGGACCCAAACGAATCTTAGATGTTAAAGAAAATACCAATGAACAAACAGCACTTGAAGGCTGTTTGTGTCAACAAGATGTGTCTGGTAAAATAAATTCAAAGCACATGCAAGGAAAAATAAAAAGTGAAATCATTATATTCAGTGAGAGACTTAAATGACAGTCAGACCTCTACCACTTCTCAAGGAGAGGCTCCTTCTGACTCCACAAACATTTTCAGTCAGTCTGGCAAACATGTGCAAATGTTTGGCTGTTTTGTTGAGGCATCTTTTTGTCCATGGAAGAAATGCTTCCATGCTGATGGCAGTGGAAATAGAATATCTGCATTTTTAAAGGACAAACAATAAATTTAAGCATGGGTGGCCTTAATCCTTAGTAGTTTTTCTTTGCTGCTGTTAAAAAAAAAAAAAAAAAAAAAAAAAAAGAAAAGAAAAAGAAAAAAAAAGAAATCTAAATGGATACTCCTAAAGTCTTGCACTGAATTTAGAAAAATTATTTTTTGAACCTGTGGTGCGATTAACCCTAAACATCCTACATGAGCCATACATAGTAATCCCCTTAAAATTATTGTCTAGAGATGATATTTTATTTATTTGTACCATGATTCTCGGTGCAATCAATGAGCAATTTATTTGAGCAGGAATCCTGCTGGATGTTACTGTCTTCAGTAAATAGAATAAAATGTATAGAATTAGCATAGCGTAGATAATCCCAATTTCATTCATGTTTAAAAAGTTTGTCCTTTAACTATCAATGGCATTTTAGATCTTTGTTTTTGAAACAGCAAAGCTTTTGGGAGTATATTTAGCACATATGACAAATGTTGCACTTGGAAACTCAGACAACAAAACAGGTTTCTCATGACAAATTTGTTGTCGCAGTAGGGGACAATCGTCTGTGTCTCTTACAATCAGGTCTTTACCTTAACTCTGCAACCGAATACTTGAAGTAGGATATAAACTAGGGGGAAATAGGGTCACAGATACAAAGCTGTATAGTTAGATATTTATATGTATGTGCCAATTTTGTCACAGACATTATTTTAGGGGCATTTTTGCCCCACTCATGTTGGTATGAGTATTGATCTAAACTTTTATCAGGGCCTAAGAGTTAGCCCCTAAAGAGGAAAATTTTGTCTAACATTGATTTTTTCTTTCTTGCTTTGTTTTTTTTTTTTTTTTT